TTCATTGGAGATGCAATAGGAACAGTAGGGGGGGGGGGGGGCTTCTCCATCTTCACCTGGCTCCAATGAGTTTATGTCGGGCCATGAAATGTGCCCTAGTTGTTATTTTATGTCTGATGTTCATGGGACAAAGAGCTGGAGGGCAGTTCCACTCAGGGAGAAGAAACTTTATTCACATATTATTTTCCCTTTTTAAAGCAGTACTGTTGGAGTATTTATTGCCATATTGAAATGTAAGTATAATAGTATGGCACATTTACATGGAATTAGCAAGAAATCAAGACGAAGAAGAAGTGGTTAAAAATAAAGAAATCAAAACGAAAGTTAAAAAAAGTTCATAATAATCTACTTACTTACTCGCATGCGCAACAATGTATGGTTTCCGCTTCTAAATCTCAATGGTTGCATGTGCAATGGTAAAATTACAGCAAAGATCATTTATATATATTCTTTTATTAAATGTAAAAAAATGGCTTCAGCTAAGAAGAAATGTCAGATCAATGGTGTACCAATGGCTGGAACTGCGGCAATAGCATTGTAACTTAAGATGACTGATCGAGGTTTTCTGTAACTGTCCGTTTACGCTTCTTTCCCATTAACCAGTCTTTAAACACTGCCAGAGCCCATACCGTGTTCATGTAAGTGTTACTTTCTGTCTGTTTTGTTCTTTCTCTTTCTCTGTCTTTTAACCTCTTTCCTTCTGATTTCTTTTTTCACATGGGCAGTTTAGCCATCATTAATCTAAAGTATTCTGATGGATGAAAACTAATGTTTATTGTCCAAAGTTGACGTTTAATTGACCGGACTTCTTTCTGTGGATTGTTATGACTGCACATAGTCCCTTGATCCTCCTTAGCATTGGTCTGTTCTCCTTCACAGCATTCAGTTAGCAATAATTAACAAACAATCAAAATCATGTATTCAACTAAGCCTATGTAATAATGAAAAATATCATACAGCCACATGCAGGCTTTTCAACCACTACAAACCACCAATCACATTCATTCTTGCTCAATTTTTCAAACAAAAATAAAAGCAGGCCCAGCTAGTAAGACAATAAAATAAATAAAACACTGAAAGGAAGATTTGGTTGCAAAAGAAACTCAAGGTTAGTCGTATGAAAAATATTTTTGTCACAGAATGGTTGTTTTTTTTAAACCAAAAACAAGTACGTTGGAATCATCATAGTCGAAATTCCATACTTTTTTATATTGCAATACATATCACTGGGAAAAGTGTCAATGTCACTTTTTTCCAATATCGTGCAGTCATAAATTCAACACAATATAACCTGGATTAAAATCAAGTTAGATGTTATCATCAGTACATGTGTTATACAGTATCAACAATCAGCTTTCATATTATTACCACAGAGATTTATAAAAATATAAAAACCAGGCAGCTGTGGTGAATCTTCTTGATTGATGGAAAGATAGTAGACTATGGTAGAAAATACAGTTTGGTTTACAGTATAAGAGAGTGACCACCAACTGGCGGCCCGCAGGCCACATCCGGCCCGCCAGACATTCTCATCCGGCCCGCACGACGGGGGTGACTGTGGCGTTGGCGGAGTGGTTAGTGCGTTCGCCCCCCACCCATTTTTTACAAAGTCTCGTGAGTAAGGTGCAGTACCGGAGTCCAACAGAGAGGCAGCAGCTGCGGGACAGTAGACTGCGTACTGCGAAACCTTCCCTTCCTTGAAGAAGAAGTGATCCTTCGTTGTGAACAGTCTGCTTTGTGCGCTCCGCACTAGTGATGGGAATTCCGGCTCTTCTTGGTGAGCCGGATCATTTGGCTCGGCTCACCAAGAAGAGCCGGCTCTTTCGGCTCCCAAACGGCTCTTCAGTTTACCACATATTATACCTTTTATAATTAAATCAAATGTAGCCCTGTTTTGACTAATGATTTATATGTGTACACATATATCACTTAAATTATTCAATACATCCTTTGTACTGAAGTATTCAAAAGTAAAAATTACATGTTTAATATAAATGATTTGCTGTGGCCAAATGTTTTCATTGCATTTACAGACCCTTGTAACTCTCTGATACCACCCAATCAGCACTCACTTGCTTGTAGAACCACGCTACACAAAGCAGATAGCAACACCTATAAAAACTTAAGCATAGACATTTTAAAAAAGGGGCTACTGTATCGACATTTTAAAATGTATATTTAAAGAAAAGGCCCTGACAAAACAGCAGGGCTCTATTTCAGTAACTATTAACTATAGAAAAAAAGACAGCAACAGCTGACATCAAATCTTTGCTGAGCCTAAAGATAATCATAAATAACATAGTGAAAATAAATATATTGCAATGCTCAAAACAGCAGCATCCAACAGTCTCTAATCCATGTCACTGCATGCATGCACGGAGCAGCTGTAGCGCGGAGATCATCATATCATTCTGCTTATATTGCTTAACAAAAAATAAATAAAAAATGGCTCGTTCGCGGGCGCGAGCCGGCTCCCGTTGTTCACTTAAAAGAGCCGGCTCGTTCGCGACCGACACATCACTACTCCGCACCACAGCAGTAGCCCCGCTGCGACAGAGTCCAACAGAGAGGCAGGAGCTGCGGGACAGTAGCCGAGAAGCAGGGTTGGGTTGTAACGGAATACATTTAACGGCGTTACGTAATCAGAATACAAAAATCAAGTAGGCTAACTGTATTCAGCTGGCGTTACATTTGAAAAACGAGTAATCTGATTACAGTTACTTTCGTAAACCTGAAGTGAATACATTTTGGAATACTTTTTGGAATTATTGGTGGAAAAGTTTCCTCACAAAATGTAATATTCATTACCGGCAGAACTGTGTGCACACTGCACTGCGCTGCAGCATGTCTGTGAGCGAGAGAGAGATCTCTTTTAAAATATATTGAAAGTTAGAAACGGAGATGGTTAGATAAAATGTGCAAGATAACGTTTATGTCGCATTTATTTATTGTCGAAATGATGACATTTCATAACGGGATCAAATCAAAGTGAATGGCCTGCTGCTGCTGAATGCATGGAGCAAGTGACTGGAAAAAGTTTTAAAAGTTATTACATCGTTTCAGATAATAATGATAATTCATTCGATTTAGGAGCACCTTTCAAAGCACCCAAGGACACCTTACAATTCATAATATATTCCAAGGAAAGGTTTTAAGTCAGTACAAAAAATGCAGTCCGGGTGATTGAGTTGCGGAAATGAGGGACAAAGGTTTAAAAAAAAAAGTAACAGCCTTGTTCTGCTTTAAGTTTGGATTAGGGTTCGTTGGTGGAATAAGAAGGGGTGAAAACATACATGTGACAGGTGCAAGCTGGGAGACGGATATGACCTCTTGATTTATGTATGATAGTAGAATTACAGAATTGACTATGCCTTGGTTTTACTCAATATAAAATTAGATAAACAACAGAAACTAAACTGTCTGCTACAGTCTGGTTTTGGTAGAACCATTAGCTTATGGTGGCTATTGTCTAGCCACATTTTACTCCGGTCATGTTACCAAATGATTATGTCTTTAAGGCAACTGACTCAAAATCTTGGTAAACAAAGGAAATTCAATTTGCAATTAACCTGTTATTACAACTTGTGGCCATAGTGGCCCCTTGTTTGCAGAAGCTCTCACCTAAAACATTTTCAAGCTATGTGTCACTCTAAGCAGCTGATCTGAAATAGCCAACTGACCAGTATCCACTATTGTTTGCCAATATTTATTTATTCACATATGTATGTATATATATATACATACATATGTCATTTTTTATTTTATTTTTAAACCGGCCACTCTCAGCCTAACAACCAATGATTGTACGTATTTTTTGGCGCTTTTCCACTGCAGGACCTAGCACGGCTTAGTATGGTATGGTTAGGCCTTGGTAGGCCAGGCTCACTTTATGCTGCGTTTCCATTACAGTTTACCAACTAGGGTAGTAACTATAGTAACGCAGTGTAGGCGGGTCGATCAGCTGTTCGGCGAGCGGAGCGACGCTGCGTAAAACTGCCATGACGTCATCTTCAATGCGAACCACAAAACCAAAACATCAGCCGTTAGCTGTTAGCACTCAGAGCTCACAGCTCCTCATATCTGTAAAGAAACTAGACAAAAGTTAAACAATTACAAACCACAGACTGTCTGTGTCATGGCGAATACAGTCGCTGGTTTATTTATGTCTGTAAGCCGTTGTTGTGAGTTTGGACGGAACAGCTACAGGTTAGTTTATCCTGATCAATCTGATCTCCATTCAGAAAACACGCATTTAAAAAGGTTTTTCACCTGCCGTCTTGTCTGCAGACCGGTATCAATATGTTGTTACTTTGGCATCATTTTGAAACGTGTATTACAATTAAATCACGGTAAAATATGTTGATTTTGTTGTAGTTGTAGCCCCCTTGCCAGCGATTCTCTCTGACCATTCAGCAGTCGAGAGTGTTTACGGCATATTTAGCCCGGTTGTTGGCCCGGTAAGAACCTCGATTTTGGAGGGCCAGAAAAAAGGTAAAAAATGTTAGCCCTGAGCCGGACTAGTGGAAAAGCGCCGTTACTTTCTGTGCGCAACTGACCATATTGACACATCTTTCATTAACACTTGATAAAAACAGCATTTAAACTAATCAAAATGGTCTTTCCGTTGTTTCAAACATCACCAACTCTGGTGTGGTCCAAATAAATCCTTAATCCACTGAATTGGACGGGAACATTTGTTGGCTCTTTGCTCTGTTTTCCCCACTGTCAACCGGCAGGAGGAGGGACAGTGTGGAATTACTTGCTCTTGGGGAGCAGACCAATAAATGACCAAAATAAAATGACACAATGCTTCCAGAAAATCAACCTCCTCAATAGTGGATATACTTTTCCAATTGCCCAATCTGGTATCCATGCATCTCTCTTTATGAGGCTTTGTGATGTACCTCCAGCTTATCATAGAGTATTGTATTGTGCTCTTTGTCAGTAATTTACTGTCACAGTTTGTTCTTAACTCTGCCTCCTCTATTGTCTGTTCGCAGCGTTCACCATGATGATCATCTTGGCTCTAATCCGCATCGGGAAAGACTCAGGGAAGGGCCGCCCAGCGGTCGCCTCCTTCTCTGGGGTGCCCAACCTGTTCGGGGTGTGCGTCTACTCCTTCATGTGTCAACACTCCCTGCCCTCCGTGGTGACGCCCATCTCCGACAAGAAGCGTGTGGGCACCCTGGTGTTGGTGGACTACACCCTGATCCTGGTCTTCTACGTCCTGCTCTCGTTCACAGCCATCTTCTGCTTCGACAGCACGCTGCTGCACGACATGTACACCCTGAACTTCACGGACAACTGCGACGTGTTGAATATTCCGATCCTGCGCTACTTCCTGGGTCTGTTCCCAGTTTTCACCATCAGCACCAACTTCCCCATCATTGCCGTGACTCTGCGCAACAACTGGAAAACCCTGTTCTTTCGGGACGGAGGCACCTACCCTTGGGTGGTAGACCGGATCGTGTTTCCCCTCATTACCCTGGTTCCCCCAATCATTGTGGCGTTTTTCACAAACAACTTGGAGTCTCTGGTGGGAATTACAGGAGCCTACGCTGGCACAGGCATCCAGTACATAGTCCCAGCCTGCCTCGTGTATTACTCTCGACGCCACCTGGAGCCCACGGTGGGCCGGGATGCCATCAACAAGCACCGCTCTCCCTTCCGCCACACCTTTTGGGTGGGGTTCGTTTTAGTGTGGGCTGTCTCCTGCCTCATGTTTGTCACAGCCAACATCATCCTGACTGACACCAAGAAATAAAAACTCACTGTTCCAAGAACTTTCTGAAGAAAGTATGTTTGGCCAGTCTGTTTTTACACAAGGCCTTACTTGCTGCTGGTTGTACAGGATGCCTTTTTGGTTGACTTTTGTTGAATATATGAAATAGTTCGTAATATAATCAAGTTTGTGAAAAGGGACCAAGTGTTTCTGTTCCATAAAAAATGCTGGAACAGTGCTTCACAACAAGGAAAGGGATCTTTAAATGGTCATTTATTCAAAGGACTTTTTTGTCAACAAACACATGATAGTTGGAGATTTCCACGAAGATTTGCACATTAAGAGAAATATATCTTAAGAGTTTGAAAGAACTAGGTTATATAACTCATTTTCGACGTTGGAAAAGTTCACGGTAAAAAAGTTAGGTTGTTAAGATCCTGAGGGTTCCTCTGGACCTTTAGGTTACATTGTTCCCAAGCAATTGAAATAGAATAATAATACAAGAAAAAGCTAGTCTGATCAGACTTGTGTTTTGTTGCTAAACTGTTTGGATGACGTTTATCCATTCATCAGCGGTGGCTGCCCCTCGATCTCCTCGTCCCCTCGTGAACAATGAAGCTGTCAGTGACAGATCCACTGACTGATAGGCCTCCAGGAAGAACTCCATCTCTGTTTATCAGCAGCCTCTCGTGTATGAAGTTCACACACAGGGCATGTCTCCCGTCTTTTACTGCTCAGCACCCATTCACAACTCTGTCAGCATCACAGTGGATCTATCACACCTGACAGGATAATAGTGATGTACAGCGCTTAAGCTGTGGCTACAGGGAAGGCATCGGTAGCCAACAAGTGAGGAGTGGTGAGCCAAATGTGACGACAGAGATTTACACACTACCCACTATACTGTAGATTAGAAAGGCTGAGTTCACTGACACCTGGCAGCTTCATATCCGAGTTGTGCCATTGTTAATGGACTTTATCTTTGGCCTTCATCTTCGACTTGATCTCATTTTCTCAAATGTCCATAATTCTTTGTCACCGGTGTCATACTTCTAAAAGGGTTTGTTTAGTCATATTTAATTGAACGTCTAGCTACATTTAGCAGTGCACATTATTTGAGATGAACAAGATTGAAATGGGGGTAAATGAACGCTTATAGCATTGAAAATTCGTTTTTTTATGAATTAGCAAAAACAGCATCCAGCAACAGCAATATTTTGGATATGTCTTGAAACCTGTCAGGCCTATTGTTATTTTATTGGTACATTTCTATGGTAGAAGTGCAACACGGTCAGGTGTTGAAAAATGTGACCACAACACAACTTAACCAAGTGTTTTAACTTTTCAATAACAATAACATGTTATACAACTGAAAAGATGTTGTCTGATGGCTCCACATCTTTTCCTTAAATTGCAATGGCTACATGATTAAATGGTGCCACCATCTACACAGCGACACATCCAGGGCACAAACAGCTTCTTCTTCTTCCTGTAGATGTATCCTCTTAAAGCATCGATAATCATAACATATTTCCCATCAATATGCACCCATACTTTTTCATTCAGTGTACTCTAACTTCCCAAAACCAAGAAAAATAGATGACTACATTGATTAAGTGAACATCTCAAAGGTTGGTGGACTCATATGGACACATTTAAAAAATGGTTGAAATTGTAGCAGCTGAGACTGAGATGTGACATCCCTACTGTGGGTCAATCTATACAAATAGAGAATACTACATAATGCAGTACCCTTTTCCTGTATATGTATCCTCTTAAAGCATTGATAATCATAACAAAAAACATATTTCCCGTCAATATGCAAGCGTATTTTCTCATTCAGATTACTCTTACTTCCTTAATCCAACAATAAGACTCCATAGATTTAGTGAACATTTCAAAAGTTATATGGACACAATTGAACAATAACGGTGACAATTGTGGCAGCCGAAGCTCAAATATACATAATGTGTAATCCCTATTGTTGGTCTATAAAAAAGTATAAATGTCCCATAATGCAGTCCTCTTTACCTTGTGTTAAATATGATCACCACGCTCTGCTTGGAAAACATTGTGCACATTATGTCCCGTAAATGGCTTAACTGATGCTGTTAGATCTTAAGGCCATAACTTCACACACATTTGTTTTAAATACTTATACAATTTTGCTCCACGTAAATGCCATCCAAGCATTAGCGGTGAGTTGTGGAGCATTTAGCGCGTCGGTTCTGCTTTTTCATCAACTGCCGTAATGCAGTGTAAATTGAAAGGTAATGTGCTGTGACCTGCGTGGCACCAAAGGTTTCTACTCATGCATTGTTGTAGTAATGTTGCAGGTTTTAGAGGTGCTATGGGTTTACTGTCACCTAAGTGTGTACCAAATATCACAGCTTTGAGATCATCAGTTATCACAAAACGCAAAGCTTCTGTGTCCATACACGTCTGCTTCCGTCTAATCTGTGTGGAATCTGTATCATCCGCTGCATCCAGAACAAAACATTTTTTAATTCATGTTTGTGTTTACTTCTTTTCTCTCTTCTTTTTGTACTCTTCATTCAGTCTGGAGACATGATTGTGTATGTGGCATTTTGAGCATTTGACCAATGGAAGATTAGATATTGAAGATGAGATTCTGATGACTCTTGTTTGGAGTTGTGAAATGTGCCTTTTTCACGGGGTTTACTTTCTTGCCCTCAATTTATCGACTCTGCTTTTTATTCTCAGCTTGTCAGAAAAACATCTGCATGTATGCCATTTCATCTTATTGACAATCAGTGGGCCCAAAACATATTCGTAATCCTTTTTGTGTTTTATCTCAGTTCGTTTATCCTTGTTGTTGTATTGATGCCTTTAATTTACTGACATTTCTCATTTTGTATTCATGTTTTTGGTATTTGTTTACAATAATTTGGCCAGCCTGTGATTCTATCCTTTATTTGAATGTTTACTGGCTTAATTGATTGTTTGATTATTATGATTCACAATAAACGCTTTATGTGTATCCGATCTGAGCTCGGTTAATTAAAGGGAGCTTGGGTTTTCTTACAACCAGTCTTGTTTTGCAGTTTTTGCCCACATGTCAATCATATAATAAACTCAAAGGCTTTTTCTAGAGAATTTGGATTTGGGACTCAGTGTCAAACTTTTGTAAAGCAGACATGTTATGCTAATTTCCTGGTTCATATTTAGATGTTGTGCCTCCACTGGGACATGTCTCCATGCTCTAATGTTCAAAAAGCTCTTTATTTTTCTCATGCTGCCTGTGCTGCTGCTGCACCTATTTTCACCCTCTGTCTGAAACCAGAGCCCAGTCTGCTCTGATTGGTTAGCTGGCTGGCAAACGATGTGTTGGAGCTCTAGCCAATCGAAATGTAAGTGTTACATAGTGATGTCTCTATGTTATTGAATTAAACAAAGGAGTCCAATGGAGGCATTTCAGGGGGGGGGTGGGAGAGAGACTCCCTCTGAAGGGAACTTTGGGATTTTAGCGTTAGCAGACCATTTACATCCATAGTATGTGTAAATACAACATTATATTTGAACACAACATTTCCATTTCAACATGTAATTGCATCGAGTCTGTCATGAGCTGAAAATGGGAGGACTTGAGAGAAAACACAAAAGGAACTATTTTTTTTAAATTATTGTATGGCTTTTTCTACAGATATGATGTGTCTATAGACTTGACTTTTTAAAATATTATTCATTTTTTAATTAACTTTTAACTAATTATTAACTTATATTAATAGGTTTTTTATATATACAGTGGGGCAAACAAGTATTTAGTCAGCCACCAATTGTGCAAGTTCTCCCACTTAAAAAGATGAGAGGCCTGTAATTTTCATCCTAGGTACACTTCAACTATGAGAGACAGAATGGGGGGAAAGAATCCAGGAAATCACATTGTAGGATTTTTAATGAATGAATTGGTCAATTCCTCGGTAAGATAAGTATTTGGTCACCTACAAACAAACAAGATTTCTTGCTCTCACAGACCTGTAACTTCTTCTTTAAGAGCCTCCTCTGTCCTCCACTTGTTAACTGTATTAATGGCACCTGTTTGAACTCGTTATCAGTATAAAAGACACCTGTCCACAACCTCAAACAGTCACACTCCAAACTCCACTATGGCCAAGACCAAAGAGCTCTCAAAGGACACCAGAAACAAAATTGTAGACCTGCACCAGGCTGGGAAGACTGAATCTGCAATAGGTAAGCAGCTTGGTGTGAAGAAATCAACTGTGGGTGCAATTATTAGAAAATGGAAGACATATAAGACCACTGATAATCTCCTTCGATCTGGGGCTCCACGCAAGATCTCACCCCGTGGGGTCAAAATGATCACAAGAACGGTGAGCAAAGATCCCAGAACCACACGGGGGGACCTAGTCAATGACCTACAGAGAGCTGGGACCAAAGTAACAAAGGCTACCATCAGTAACACACTACGCCGCCAGGGACTCAAATCCTGCAGTGCCAGACGTGTCCCCCTGCTTAAGCCAGTACATGTCCAGGCCCATCTGAAGTTTGCTAGAGAGCATTTAGATGATCCAGAAGAGGATTGGGAGAATGTCATATGGTCAGATGAAACCAAAATAGAACTTCTTGGTAAAAACTCAACTAGATGTGTTTGGAGGAGAAAGAATGCTGAGTTGCATCCAAAGAACACCATACCTACTGTGAAACATGGGGGTGGAAACATCATGCTTTGGGGCTGTTTTTCTGCAAAGGGACCAGGACGACTGATCCGTGTAAAGGAAAGAATGAATGGGGCCATGTATCGTGAGATTTTGAGTGACAACCTCCTTCCATCAGCAAGGGTATTGAAGATGAAACGTGGCTGGGTCTTTCAGCATGACAATGATCCCAAACACACCGCCCGGGCAACAAAGGAGTGACTTCGTAAGAAGCATTTCAAGGTCCTGGAGTGGCCTAGCCAGTCTCCAGATCTCAACTCCATAGAAAAGCTTTGGAGGGAGTTGAAAGTCCGTGTTGCCCAGCGACAGCCCCAAAACATCACTGCTCTAGAGGAGATCTGCATGGAGGAATGGGCCAAAATACCAGCAACAGTGTGTGAAAACCTTGTGAAGACTTACAGAAACGTTTGACCTCTGTCATTGCCAACAAAGGGTATATAACAAAGTATTGAGATTAACTTTTGTTATTGACCAAATACTTATTTTCCACCATAATTTGCAAATAAATTCTTTAAAAATCAATGTGATTTTCTGGATTTTTTTTTTCTCATTTTGTCTCTCATAGTTGAGGTATACCTAGGATGAAAATTACAGGCCTCTCTCATCTTTTTAAGTGGGAGAACTTGCACAATTGGTGGCTGACTAAATACTTTTTTGCCCCACTGTATATTTGGATTTTTTTTAAACGAATGGTTGATTTGGAATGCATTTAGTGCAAACCTGGCAACTTAAAGGAAGATGCAGACCAGCAGAGGTCAACTATCATTGAGGGGGAGTCCAATTCAATATTCTCTGTATCTGTCACACTGACATGTGCTGAGAGAAGATGAATGGCTGCTGTCGGGCAGTAACAATGGTTTCCTGAATCCTGCAAACTTTTGAAACCATGAAGCTGAGGAACTGTAATAAGTAACTTACAGTAGATGATTACAAACATGTCAGCGTTGACTCCTTGAGTAAAGCTGTGTTTAACATTTATTTCACCTTGGCTTGTTTCCAAACTGCTTTTTTTCAGAACTTATTTCCTGTTGCCATTACAAATGTGAGACTCCCCGCTGGGAATTGAATGCATGAATCAGAGCGGCTTTGCTGTGACTTTAGCCATATCACACTCTCGTATTCAGCTATACTCCTACACAATTTCACACACTCACGGTTGGCAGTATTTGTATATGCTCTCTAGGTAAATGGCATCTTTTTAAATGTATTTCTATACCTCCGTTTCACCTCAATCTTCAAAGCACGGCAGCAGTTTTTTATTGACACAAGATTCCTGTTTTTATTATCAAAGCAAACCTCCCCCTCCGAATTTCAATCTCCGCAGGGCTGCCCCGCTGTAATTTAATTTACCCTCTGCCCTTTTATGTATGTGGGGTGTGTCTGCATGAGCTATCATTGGAAATGCAAACTCGGCTGGGCTTAATTAATTCAGTGTGTTTAATTGTGGCATAGTTTATACTGGCTGCTGTGTGTTTGCACAGATTTGATCTCCTGAGGTGACATTTTGTTTTGTCTTTTGGACTCTTTAGTCAAGATGAGGTTATCTGCAGAATTAAGTCCTTCAATTTGCAAAGTTAAGTTTCCATATTTACCTTATAATTAGCTGTATATTTGATGGATTTCATGTTTTCTTTTGAAACTTTTCTAGTAATTTATCCTCCAAATTCCTGCTTTAAATTATTTCTAGATATTTTAATGTATATACTAATATATGAAAACAGTTTAAAATGTATGTTTCTGCAGTTACTGTACTTTAGATAAATGGTGCCATTAGACTATTTGGTTTTTCATTCACTTCATCCACATTTCACCTCGAAATAATAATAAATATCCTTTATCAACCTTTTTTATATTATTGTATGATTTATTTCAAATTTAGACATAACATTTGGTATTTTAGTTGTGTCCCCGAGGTTTTAATTAGTCCTGTTACCCTGACATACCGCCACGTGTCACGTGATCAAGTGCATCAATGGAGTCTCCTGAAACTCAATCTTGATAACTGGATACAATTAAGAAACTGATGGAATATCTACCTTTTGGACTGTATGACCAAATAAGTAAATGTTAAAGTGATGATTTAGAAAACAGTAACATTAAAGGGAAGCAGCATTTTGTGTGCCAAATCCAAAAAAGAGGAAGAAGAATTCTCCTGAAAGCCGTGAAGACCGTAAGTTCTCTCTGTTGTGCATTATATCATAAATATTGTACGTATGAAAGGTCAATCAATCAATCAATCAATGTTTATTTATATAGCCCAATATCACAAATGTTACATTTGTCTCAGTGGACTTCACAGTTTGTACAAAATATCATTATGATAGGATGACTTTTAACATCTGTCCAGGGACTACAGACGAAAAATAGCCTGTTGGCTAACTCTGGCGCATTTACAGAAATGTCAATCAATGTGCACTGTCCCTGTCAAATAAATATATAAAAGAAAAGAAAATAATGACAATACGACACCCTCTGTCCTTAGACCCTCACATCGTACAAGGAAAAACTTCCGGAGAAAACCCACAGTTTTAAAGGGAAAAATGGGAGAAACCTCAGGGAGAGCAACAGAGGAGGGATCCCTCTCCCAGGACGGACAGACGTGCAATAGATGCCGTGTGTACATTGAAAAGACAATACATTTGCAACATAGTTAGTCCAAATGTTTGGAAATGCATGTGTGTATAATAGGAAGATGAATCCACGAGGATATCCATCCAGGACCACAGTCACGACTCAAGATCCAGGGCTTGCGATGCAGGACACAGGACCGCAGGATCATCCATGACTCCGGATCCCAGCGTATATAGACACCAAAAAGAAAGAAATTTGGGGAAGCTGGGTTAATCGGAACATGAGAGTACACAGGTATAGACAGAGAGAAGGAAGAAGTAAGATGTCCCCTGACAAACTAAGCCTATATCAGCAAAACTAGGGGCTGAATCTAATCAGCCCTAACTATAAGCTTTATCAAAAAGGAAGGTCTTAAGCGTACTCTTAAAAACGTATCATCCGCATAACAATGAAAATGTACAGAATGATTCCTTATAATATTGCCTAACGGAAGCATATATAATGTGAACAAAATAGGTCCGAGCACTGAGCCCTGTGGCACTCCATGGCTAACTTTGGTTTGCGTGGAAGATTCATCATTGACACGTACAAACTGAGAGTATTCAGATAGATAGGACCTAAACCAGCCTAAAGCAGTTCCCTGTATGCCAACTAAGTGCTCTAGTCTTTGCAATAAGATATCATGATCGATAGTATCAAATGCAGCACTGAGATCGAGCAAAACAAGAATAGAGACAAGTCCCTTGTCAGAGGCTATTAGAATGTCATTTGTGACTTTAACCAGAGCTGTCTCCGTGCTATGATGTGTTCTAAAGCCAGACTGAAAATCTTCAAATAAATCATTGTTTTTTAA